TCATAGCTCACTGCAACCTCAAACTCCTAGGCTCAGGTGATCCTCCTGCCTCAGCTTCCCAAGTAGCTAGGACTATAGGCATGTGCCACCATGCCCGGCTAATTTTTTCTCTCTTTAGTAGAAACAGGGTCTTGCTCTTGCTTAGGCTGGTCTCCCAACCTCAAGCAATACTCCTACCTCGGCCTCCCAGAATGCATGCCTCCCAGGCATGTGTCACTACACCTGGCCTATATACACCACTTTTTAAAATTCATTCATCTGTTGATGGACACTTAGTTTGATTCCATATCTTGACCATTGTGAATAACACTGCAGTGAACATGGGAGTGTAAATATCTCTGTGAAATACTGATTTTGTTTCCTTTGGATATATACCTAGTAGTGAGATTGCTGGATTCATTGCTGGATCAGGAATAGTTATACTCATATCAAATAAAATAGACTTTATTTTTATTTTATTTTATTTTATTTTATTTTATTTTGAGACAAGAGTTCGCTCTGTTGTGTTGCCAGGCTAGAGTGAGTGCCGTGGTGTCAGCCTAGCTCACAGCAACCTCAAACTCCTGGGCTCACGCAGTTTCCTCTTCCTAGGCAGAGCCTCTGAGGACTGGTGGACTGAATCTGGCAAATGGCATGTGGTGGAAGTGCCTCCAGGCCACAAGGGACCCTCCAGCTGCCCCTTCCCATCAGCAGCATCTGCAAAAACCACCTCTTGAGGATGGTGTTTTCACAACGTGCAAAGAACTGGAGCCCTGAGTCTTCTCCCAGAGAGCAAGTGCCCCCATCAGACTATGACACAAGCACATATTAACCCTTTCTTGGAAGCCACCAAGGCTTGGAGCAGTGCAGCCTCCTGTTGCCCTAACTAATATCCTCAGCCAAGTTATAAAGCTTCCCTGTGCCTCAGTTTTCTCATCTATGAAACTGGTATAAATTAAGAGGGCTCAACTCACACATGTTCTAAGATTGCCCTTGGAAAGCACTTAGCACAGGCCTAGCATGCAGTAAACACTCAATAAACATCAGCACCGTGTGTATGCGTGCATTTTGACTACAGTAAAAAGCTTACTGAGAGGCAGAGCTAGAAGCTAGAAGGGAGAAAGAAACCTACGGGGGAAGGGTCCCTGCAAGGAATTGGAACTGGCTAAGAAGAAAGCTGCTTAAGAGAACGGGAACATATCCCTGGTGCCAGAGTAACGTTTCCTAAATCTCTTCCACCTCTGATCAGGATTTGTCCTAGAGCTTGAGGAAGTGCAGGGCCTATGAGGGAGGGGAGTCCCATGGACCCAGCTCTGCGAAAGGGGAAGGAAGGAAAGCTACAGCTTCAAGGAGAGCAGAAAGGATTTAAAAAGCTGCTGTGGTTCTAAAGCTGCCTTGAAATTCCATTAAAAAAGAAAGAACTTCTTTCACATGGAGGGACTTTTCTCACACATGGACAAATCCAAGCAAACCACACACCTTTCAAGAAGAACCTCAGAAAACAGTGTGATGTGAATGTCAGTGGTGATTACTAACATTATTTTTGAAACGTGTTTGAACTGTGACGAACACAAAAAGACATCTAGATCTGAAATAAAACCTCACATCATTTCATGAAAGTTTGGGAGTATTCAATCTGTAACAGTCAGGAAATGATAGAACTACTGTTAGAAAGTAGCTTATTAAAATAATAATTTGCCATTGTTTACAAGTGTGGTGCTATAAAATAGTTTTGTTGCTTTAATAAAAGAAAAAAAAGATGATCGTTTTATAAATCAAGATCAATTTGCCATCTCTTGAGTTCTACTCCAATGATGATGGATTTACCAACAATCACCAAACTGTCCCTAGGTCTGTCTAAGTAGAATATCAAAATTCACATACTTGTAATGCAACAGCTTTATGGTCCTGATGGCAATGGAGAGACAAAGCATTATAATCATGTACCACTTAACAACAGGGTATGTTCTGAGAAATCCATCCTGATTTTATTATGTAAACATCATAGAGTATATGTACACACCTAGATACATATCAGTCTCTGTCCGTAAGAGAATGGATGAATGGAATTTTATCTAACAGTCAAAAAGCATGAGTTCCGACAGTGTAGGTATATCTCAATATACACTATTAAGTGGAAAGAGTACCAGAAAATTATATGGATGATATCATGATGTGATTCATGCATGATACCATTTTTATAAATTTAAAAACATGCTTTCTCCAGTAGTCTTACTGGTCAAAAAAAAAAAAGGAAAAACATGCTTCCATAAAAACATGTAAATATCGAAGCTATAATAAAGGAAAACAAAGTACTGACCAAGTCAAGATACAGGGTAATATTACCTCTGGAAGGGAAGAGGAGCTGGAAGAATGGACAGATGAGGAGACTCTGTGGTTAGTTACCAGGTATAACTGTTTTGGGTGGTGGTTTCAAATATATAAAAACTTAGCAAATATATAAAAACAGGTTGTGCATGGACAAAATGAGAGAGTGTCACAAACCAAGGATTATGAACAATCCAGTTCTGTGCACATGAGATCCTTTAAAAACATGGAGAAATCCCCTCTGAGAACAGACCTGGATTAAAAATCAAACCGAAATCATTTCAGTCCAAATAGCAAAACCCTCCACCTATCAACTCTGATTGATACTATTTGTAGGAAGATCTTTATTTGTATTATCACTACTTATAAAAGAGAAATTGCAAACATCTCAAAGATCCATCAGTAGGGGAATGGCTTAAAACATCAGTCTACTTTTATACTCCTTCACTAATTCATCGCACCAACACACTGACCGAGCGTCCACGATCTGTCAGACACTAGGATATAATCACGAACAAAATGGATACGGGCCCTGCTCTCACGGGGCTTACCAATCCGGTAGGGAAGACAGGCCGTAATCAAACAATCACCCTTGCACACGAAGCTGGAAACAGGGCTGTGAAGGAAGGAACGTGGGGCTATGAAAGAGAAAAATGAAGGAAGATCTATCTTGAAGCATTTAGTTAAGACTTCCCGAGGAAAAGGGACCTTTAACAGGGTCTGAAACAGAAGTCTGAGGGTAACTAACCAGGCAAAACAGAGACGGGGAGGGAGGGCTGTCAGGCACAAGAAAGAGAGGGGGAACCCTGCAGCAGAAGGGAGCCCAGCGGTCAGGGAGGTGAAGGGCCGAGGTGGCTGGAACCAGAGTTAGGGGGACATGGGTGTCAGATGAAGCTGGAAAGAGGCAAAAGGCCCCACATCATGGGGGGAGGAGGGGATGAGGCTAAGGATTTTGATCTTCATCCAAAAAGCAATAGGAAGAAGGGGTTTAAGCAGGAAAACAATGACATCAGATATCCACCGGAAAATGATCACCTGCCACGTGGAGAATGAAGGTCCCGGGGGAAGGACGTGATGAAAGCTGATGCTCCCTTCGGCACGGTCTCTCTGGTCCCAGTATGTGGCAGTGTCAAGAGTGGACGGAGAAAGAGTGGAGGCTATCTCAGGAGTGGGCTGCAGAGAGGGTGGTGGGCTTTGGGTGGTAAAATGGAGGACACTGGAGGTAGAAAGAATATGGACAGAGAGGGAGAACGAGCTGACCAGGACGGCTCGCAGATGTCCGGCCTGTAGGAACCGATGAGCCCCTGGAAGATGAGCTGTGTGCAGCTGAGGCATGAAGAGTTCAGTCTAGGATGACTGAGCTGAAGGTGGCCTGGGACATCTAAATAGAGATGACATGTAGGCTATCAGGGAAGTGGGTATGGAGGGCAACCTGACCTGGAGATACAAATGTGGGAGATGCACTATGCAACTGTTAAAATGAATGTGGCTGCTCCATAGGTACTGACGTGGTAGGATGTCTATGATCTACTGACAAATGCACACTGAAAAAAGCAAGTTATAGAACAATAAGCATAACATAATCACTTTTTACAAACTTGTAGAAAAATACTTAACCATCTGAATTGCAAGAGAAATATATATACTGAGACACACACACACACATACACAATGGATGGTCTGGAAGGAATATACCAAACTATCAACCTATCCTTATGATTTCGCAAAGTTTGGGTGGGAATAGATGAGTGAACGAATTTCGCCTTTTAGTTTCTAAACTTCTACATGTTGGCTCTTGTTTCTCACTCTGAGTACTTTAGCACTTCACTCCACCCCCAGATCCTAGCACACCCTAATCCCCACACAGTGGCAGAAGTTGGCAAAAGAATAAGATGGAAAGAGGAAAGATGTCAGTTTTGCACATTATTTGATAATAAAAAAAGGAGTAACTTGGTGTTTGCTTTTAAGCCGCATCGAAACAGCTGTACCAAAATGTTCACTGATAAAATGCCACTCCTGCTGCTGAAGGGTTTATAATCAACTCTCCTGGGCAGTAAGTCAATTAAGAGGATTGTCAGGGCATGAAAGTCTGCAGGCACATTGCCACCGGGCTCTCCTGAGAGCCACTCAATGTGCTCTGAGGATTTCAAAGTCTCATGGAGCATCCAAGAACACCCCATACTAATCAAGGAATGCTAAAGACTCCCCCACTGTGGAAAACAGTATACCAAGGACTTGTGCTAATGAACATACATGAACAAAAGGAAATTAATAAAAATGGGAGGATTAGGTGGCTTTACATAACAATTTGTGTAGTTTATTCTAGATTTTTCTTAAGTTACTTAACATAATCACCCAGCACAGTGCCAGTCCAATGCTCAGTACAAATCTGCAAAATTGTTTTCGAAACCTCCAGACCCCTATCTGACCAAGAATATCATTATCCCAGAACAAAAATGGTGGAATGCTAAAACGGAAGCAACCATTCTAACGTCAGAAAGCAAGCCAAGGGAACAGTGACGTTCATCCTCAGGGGAACTTCCTTCTTCCACTCCCTCATTACCTCAAGTGAGATCTTCAAGTTCCTTCATGCAACAGCTTGACAAAGTATTGCTTAACCCTCTTTAATCACCAAGTGCACCCTGTACAGAGAGAGACATACTATGAATAACCATGAACTACGGACACCCTACCGGCAAGGCAGATGCAAGTGAAATTGCTCCCATCTTGCTTTTCGTTTGCATCAATACAGCTCGCGTTGTTGTAGCAAGGTTTCCTCTGGCAGGCGTCGTATTCTTCGCAGAAAGCACCCACATACTGGTCCTCACAGGTACACGAAAAAGTTGCCTAAAACACAAAAAATACAGTGCATGAGACCAGAGCCTCCCAAACATATGCTTTGGCCATGAGCCTCGAAGTCCAAAAGCACCACTTCCTTTCTATGATGATACCAATCCTGAGTAATTTAATCATATCTCTTACACATCATAATCTGGTTAAAATCACAGCTTTAAGAGAAATAGCGTTGTGTCTCTTTACAGTTTAAATCCAAACATTTATTTTTGTATTTATTCATATCTATCCCAACCATTTTCAATCTTCCTAAAATAGAAATGGAAAGAACAACTTGTTGTTGAGGTAAAATTGAAGTTCTGCCAACCAGACACGGAAATGGCAATTTTGCTAGAGCAGACAGGGCTGTGCTGCAGCCATTAAATTAGATGTTACTTCAACCAACTAAAACCCTTCAGCATAGACAGCACCTGCAACAAAAGTGTCATCAAATGTCCCGCCCAGACCATCCTTCCCGAGCACTGAGAAAATGTACTGAATCTCTCTATAACCAGGCCTCAATGCACAGCCATGCAAATCACCTGAGTGCAAGAGAAACTGAAAAGAGTATAATTCAAGTAACCATTGTGTTGGGTTTATTGGATTAACATTATCTCAGTAAATGACCACGACTCAGACACAGAGAACTGAATTTGATGTGAAGCTTCATTGTTCAGGTAGTTACAAAATCTAAATGAAACCGGGCCTCCCCGCTCCCGTCTTAATGCTAACCTAAGGGTAGCGACGTATCTGAAAAAGCCACAAATCTGGCTCCAAAGCCCATGCAAGCAGTGTAGACTGTTACAGAGGATTTTCATGAGGAAAGGAAGAGAAGCAATAGAGAATGGCGATAGCAAACCTTACAACTTAAAAAAATCTAAACGAGACAGACAAAAGCACCTTTCCCAGGTGTCTCCCCAAGCCTGACGGGTGTCCAATCTCTACTGCTCCCCAGCCACACTGTCCCCTCACTCTCCCTGCCCCTCCCGGGCCCCAGCCTCCTGCCCTAATCTCAGAGAGAGACTCCCTCCTCCTCCAAGTACCCTCAGCTCAGGGTCTCCACCCCTTCCCCCTGAGCACTGCCAGGTGCCTGCCTCCCTCCTAGAAGAGGAAAGGGTGGCCCATTCTTCTCCCTTTCATATGCTTTTGTCTCTCAATCATGCTTCATAGTTATTGTACATTTCTTAACACATTTGCTCCTGCATATTTAGATTTTTTTGTAGCTATCAGTAATGAGATATTTTCCTCATCCCATTCTTGTAATACCATAGCACTTGCTGGTGATTAGTAGTCACATATAAGATGACTGGTTTTGGCCAGGCGCCATGGCTCACACCTGTAGTCCTAGCACTCTGGGAGGCCAAGGCGGGAAGATTGCTCGAGGTCAGGAGTTCGAAACCAGCCTGAGCTAGAGCGAGAACCCCATCTCTATTAAAAACAGAAAGAAATTAATTGGCCAACTAATATATATAGAAAAAATTAGCCGGGCATGGTGGCGCATGCCTGTAGTCTCTATGAAACTGGTATAAATTAAGAGGGCTCAACTCACACATGTTCTAAGATTGCCCTTGGAAAGCACTTAGCACAGGCCTAGCATGCAGTAAACACTCAATAAATATCAGCACCGTGTGTATGCGTGCATTTTGACTACAGTAAAAAGCTTACTGAGAGGCAGAGCTAGAACCTAGAAGGGAGAAAGAAACCTGCGGAGGAAGGGTCCCTGCAAGAAATTGGAACTAAGAAGAAAGCTACATAAGAGAACGGCAACATATCCCTGGTGCCAGAGTACGTTTCCCAATCTCTTCCACCTCTGATCAGGATTTGTCCTACAGCTTGAGGAAGTGCAGGGCTATGAGAAGGGGGAGTCCCATGGACCCAGCTCTGTGAAAGGGGAAGGAAGGAAAGCTACAGCTTCAAGGAGAGCAGAAAGGATTTAAAAAGCTGCTGAACCAAGGACGTAAAAGACCTCTACAGGGAGAACTATGAAACACTGAGGAAGGAAATAGCAGAGGATGTAAACAGATGGAAATCCATACCATGCTCGTGGATCGGCAGACTCAATATCATCAAATGTCTATACTACCCAAACTGATCTACAGATTCAATGCAATACCGTTAAAATCCCATCAGCATTCTTCAAAATAAAAAATAATTTTACGCTCGTATGGAACCAAAGAAGACCCGAATATCAAGAGCAATTCTAGGCAACAAAAACAAAATGGGAGGATTAATATGCCAGATATCAAACTATACTACAAAGCTGTAGTAATTAAAACAATATGTATTGGCACAAAATAGGAATATTGACCAGTGGAACAGATGTGAGAATCCTGATATAAAACCATCCTCATATAGCCATCTAATCTTTGACAAAGCAGACAAAACATATGCTGGGGAAAAGAATCCCTCTTCAATAAATGGTGCTGGGAAAACTGGATAGCCACCTGTAGAAGGCTAAAACAGGACCCACACCTTTCACCTCTCACAAAACCATCACGCTGGATAACAGACTTAAACCTAAGGAATGAAACTATTAGAACTCTAGAGGAAAAGTTGGAAACACTCTCCTAGACATTGGCCTGGGCAAAGAAGTTTATGAGAAGTCCCCAAAGGCAATCACAGCAGCAACAAAATAAATAAATGGACATGATCAAACTACAAAGCTTCTGCACAGCCAAAGAAATAGTCATGAAAGTAAAAGACAACCTACAGAATGGGAGAAATTTTGCATCCTATGCATCCGATAAGGGACTGATAACTAGAATATACTTAGAACTCACGAAAATCAGGAAGAAAAAATCAAATAACCCCATTAAAAAGTGGGCAAAGGACTTGAACAGAAATTTTCTAAAGAAGAGAAAATGGCCACAAACATATGAAAAAATGCTCATCATCTCTAATCATCAGGGAAATGCAAATCAAACCACAATGAGATATCACTTACCCAGTGGAGAATGGCCTTTATCAAAAAGTCTCCAACAATAAATGCTGGCGTGGTTGCGGAGAGAGAGAACACTCCTACACTGCTGGTGGACTGCAAACTAGTTCAACCTCTGTGGAAAGCAATATGGAGATACCTTAAAGCGGATACAAGTGAATCTACCATTGATCCAGCAATCCCATTGCTGGGCATCTACCAAATGAACTCAGTGACACTCTACAAAAAAGACACCTGCACTTCGAATGTTTCTAGCAGCACAATTCATAATTGCAAGGCTGTGGAAAACAGCCCAAGTGCCATCAATCCAAGAATTGATTAAAAAAATGTGGTATATGTATACCATGGAGTACTATTCAGCTCTAAGAAACAATGGTGATATAGCACATCTTATTTTCCTGGTTAGAGCTGGAACTACTACTAAGTGAAGTATCCCAGAATGGAAAAACAAGCACCAGATATATTCTCCAGCAAACTGGTTTAACTGAGTAGCACCTAAGTGGACACATAGGTACTACAGTAATAGGGTATTGGGCAGGGAGGAGGGGAGGGGAGCGGGTATTATACTACATAATGAGTGAGATGTGGCACCATCTGGGGGAGTCATGATGGAGACTCAGACTTTTGGGGGGAGGGGAAATGGGCATTATTCAAAACCTTTAAATCTGTACCCCCATATATGCTGTAAATAAAAAAAAAAAAGCTGCTGTGGTTCTAAAGCTGCCTTGAAATTCCATTAAACAAGAAAGACTTCTTTCACATGGAGGACTTTTCTCACACATGGACAAATCCAAGCAAAACCACACATTTCAAGAAGAACCTCAGAAAACAGTGTGATGTGAATGTCAGTGGCGATTACTAACATTATTTTTGAAACGTGTTGAACTGTGACGAACACAAAAAGACATCTGATCTGAAATAAACCTCACATCATTTCATGAAAGTTTGGAGTATTCAATCTGTAATAGTCAGGAAATGATAGAACTACTGTTAGAAAGTAGCTTATTAAAATAATAATTTGCCATTGTTTACAAGTGTGGTGCTATAAAATAGTTTTGTTGCTTTAAAAAGAAATAAAAGATGATCGTTTTATAATCAAGATCAATTTGCCATCTCTTGAGTTCTACTCCAATGATGATGGATTTCAACAATCACCAAACTGTCCCTAGGTCTGTCTAAGTAGAATATCAAAATTCACATACTTGTAATGCAACAGCTTTATGGTCCTGAGTGCAATGGAGAGACAAAGCATTTAATCATGTACCACTTAACAACAGGGTATGTTCTGAAAATCCATCCTGATTTATTATGTAAACATCATAGATATTATGTACACCTAGATACATATCAGTCTCTGTCCGTAAGAGAATGGATGAATGGAATTTTATCTAACAGTCAAAAAGCATGAGTTCCAACAGTGCGGGTATATCTCAATATACACTATTAATGGAAAGAGTACCAGAAAATTATATGGATGATATCATGATGTGATTCATGCATGATACCATTTTATAAATTAAAAACATGCTTTCTCCAGTAGTCTTACTGGTCAAAAAAAAAAAGGAAAAAACATGCTTCCATAAAAACATGTAAATATCGAAGCTATAATAAAGGAAACAAAGTACTGACCAAGTCAAGATACAGGGTAATATTCCTCTGGAGGGAAGAGGAGCTGGAAGAATGGACAGATGAGGAGACTCTGTGGTTAGTTACCAGGTATAACTGTTTTGGGTGGTGGTTTCAAAATATATAAAAACTTAGCAAATATATAAAAACAGGTTGTGCATGGACAAAATGAGAGAGTGTCACAAACCAAGGATTATGAACAATCCAGTTCTGTGCACATGAGATCCTTTAAAAACATGGAGAAATCCCCTCTGAGAACAGACCTGGATTAAAAATCAAACCGAAATCATTTCAGTCCAATAGCAAACCCACCACCTATCAACTCTGATTGATACTATTTGTAGGGGATCTTTATTTTATTATCACTACTTATAAAGAGAAATTGCAAACATCTCAAGATCCATCAGTAGGGGAATGGCTTAAAACATCAGTCTACTTTTATACTCCTTCA